ATACATCATCCATCCATACATCATCCATCCATACATCATCCAGCCAATATCCATCCATCCATCATCCATCCATACATCATCCATCCATCCATACATTATCCATCCATCATCCATCCATACATCATCCATCCATCCATCCATCATCCATCCATACATCATCCATCATCCATCCATCCTCTGGTTCTGGACTCAGGTCTTGGGGCAGCATCTTGATCAGGTCCAGCCACCTCTTCCAGCTCTTCTGGTATGACTCCAAGGTGCTCTAGATCAGCGTCTGTCCAGCGAGTCCTGGGTCTTACCCAGGGTCTCCTCCTTGTTGGGCATCTTCACCAGATTTCTGAACCCCCTCAAATGTCTCCTCTGGATGTGGAGGAGCAGCAGTTCTGCTCTGAGTCTCTCCTGATAACTGAACTTCTCACCCTGTCTCTAAGGGAGAGTCCAGCTACCCTGCAGAGGAAACTCATTTAGACCTCCTGGATCCAGGCTCTGGTTCTTCCTGTCTCTAGAGTTTAGGACCAGAGGTGAAGGTAGACACATAGACCGACTAGTAAACAGGGAGCTTCTCAGAGAGCTCAGCTCCCTCTTCACCACATCGGACCAGTACAGAGTCCACAATACTGCAGACACTGCACCAATCCATCTGTAGATCTCCACCCTCCATTCTTCACTCACTGTGAACAAAACCAGGTACTTGAACTCCTCCAGTTGAGACAGAACCTCACCCTAGACCAGGAGAGGACGGTCCACCCTCTGACTGAGGACCATGACCTCAGATTTGGAGATGATCCTCATCCCAGCTATGAACCACTCCAGTGAGAGCTGAAGATCACGACACAATGACGCCAACCGGACCACAGATAAAACCCTGAGGTCCATAACGGTTCAGAACAGAATCTGTGAGAACGGGTCGGCCTGGCAGAATTCCACAGCAGACCAGAAGTTCTGCACGGTTCAGTCAAAGCGAAGCGTCAGACTCAGGAGCAGAAATGAACCACGACGTGTTCCCGCTAATGAAGCTCCTCTCAGCGGGGTTGTTCTTCTTTTGTGGTTTCTGTTGCTCCTGCAGGGAGGACGGGTGCTGTGCGAACAAGACTCACCGGCGTGTCCGTGATTTCTGGTGGTGGGGGGTAAAACGGTGCTCCACATCAACCCCCACCCCCCCCACCCCCCAACGTTAACTCCTCATTAATCAGACACGTTCATGTGCTGGGTGGAAATGATAGCCTCCAGCAGAGACTCCACAGAGCTGCTGCGACAGCTGACAGAGGCCTGCGCATGAGGTGTGCACGATGTGTGCACGAGGTGTGCACGGTGTGTGCATGAGGTGTGCATGAGGTGTGCACGGTGTGTGCATCATGCCTCTAAGCCCACATCTCAAAGAATACCAAAGAATGTTTGGGCTGTTTTTGCGTTTATGTGTCTGAAAGTTACGGGTGAACAAGACAATAAATCAATAGTTGTAAAGACGTTCCTTCACTTTTAATAATTCTCATGGTTCACCCATAAAATATGGTTTTATGCTTCATGGAGCTCCTTCCTGTTTGAAGCAGGACTACTGAGGCTGGATCCATTAGAAGGAAAAACAAGCGTCGTTGTTGCTCATTTCTGCAGAGACGAGTAAATCAACGCCGTCGAACTGACGTGAAATAAATGTGTTCAGTCTCTGAGTGACGAGAACTGGTCCCAGCATAAAGTTCTGTTAGCTCTCGGAGTCTGGACCGCCGGCTCCCGACAAAAAGAGAAGGCAGAACGTCTGAAGGAAAATATGAGCCGAGTACAACAAACTCATCATCAGCCTGCTGGAAACCCGTGTGGATCGGAACACGAACAACTCAAGCGTGCTCTTTGACCTTTAGAGGAACAAGCTGCAGTTTCTCTTTGTGCCACGCTGAGAGGACAGCCGAGCTGTGTGTGTGTGTGTGTGTGTGTGTGTCCTGCTGTAAACGGGTCAGTGCGTCTCTGGGGGGAACCGGACTGAAGTGTGCTGCTCACTGACCCGGGGCTGGATGTCTACATGGGACCGTGGGGGGTTCACTGACCTCACATCACAGTTCGGCTGGAGGAGAGGAAACCAAGGCGCGGATGTGCTGAAGGCTAGCTGTGCTAACATCGGCTGTTTGATTTTGGCTCCTCGGCTTCAGCCCACATGGTGTAAATGACACAGAGACCCTGAGCAGGATGTTACTTTACTGATGGAAATGTTTTCATAAGTTTTTATTTTTGTGTGTATGTGGTTCAGAAACGGCTCCAACTCAAACCATTTAACAGATGAGCTAAATTCAGCTGTGGTAGTAGCTGAGAGTCATTCGGCTCGTTTGCTCTGAGCGATAAACTTCTTTGTGTAACTGCTGGTGACGTCAGCCCTGTTGGACTGACGATAGAATATCTCTGAAGATTTGAATAAAACTAAATAATAAAACAAGACGTCCTTTCTCGTTGGTTCGTCTGTTTTCAGTGTGTTTTAGTGCAGACGTGGACAAAGTACGGCTCGAGGGCCAAAAGTGGCCCGTGGACAAATTCCATCCGGTCCCCAAAACTTTTAATTGAAAAGAAAACAACCTTTTTAAAGGTTGATGAAAACATTTATGAATGAAACTTAAAGAAGTTTAAATTAAACATGTGGGATCTAAAAACCTCTAGAATAATTTTTCAAGTTGTGTTTCTAGAACTAGACTCCAGAACTCAAATATATTATTTTTAACCCATGTTTAGGCCAATATATTGTCACAAGAGCCATTTTATAGAAATGTCTTATATTTCTACAGTGTATTTGGGGGACATATTTTTATTGAGCATTCTAACTAACCTTTTTTTTCTCTCTAAGATTTTGTGTCTTAATAAACATTTATTTTGCAATTCTGTAAGCGGCCCTTCTATTGCTTTAAATAGTTTGATTTGGCCCTTTGGTAAAAAAATAGTTATCCACCCCGGTTTAGTTCCTGTTCGTGTGTTCCCAGAACTCGTCCTCAGTTCAGATCCTGCTCCTTAGTCATGCCACGCCCAGTCATGCCACACCCAGTCATGCCACACCCAGTCATGCCACACCCAGTCACCCCACACCCAGTCATGTCACACCCATTCATGTCATGCCCAGCCCTGCCACGCCCAGCCCTGCCACACCCAGTCATGCCACACCCATTCATGCCATGCCCAGTCATGTCACGCCCAGTCATGCCACGCCTAGCCATGCCACGCCCACTCCCACCTGCCCCCGGTCTCATTAAGCTCAGCTGTGTTCCTCCTCCGCCCCTTTTTTCCTTCGCTCTCCACCTTGTCGTCAGTTAGCCGTCGTGTTTTCACACCATGTCCGGCTCTCACCGTACGTCCTCGGGTCTCCTTGTTTTTGTCCTGCCTTCGTGAGTTAAGTGAGTTTATTTTTATCCAGTCTCCTCGAGTCAGTATTTTCCTGAGTCCAACTGTGATGGTTTCAATGTTTTAGTGCATTCCTTAAAAAACAGTCTTCATCTTCTTTGTCTGAAAATAAAAGGCCGGCTGTGAAACTGGCTGGCCAGAGCTCCAAATACAGCCGAAAGCTAAAAATGAACCAGAAATGCAGCTGCAGTCGTAGTTCTGTCCTAATGAGGTTTTCCAAAAGGAGGATGAACGACGTGAAGACAATTTATTCCTTGAATCAAACAATGAAACTAAAAACAGAAATATTGTTTGAGGAGATCAAATAAATCCAACAACCGACTGATTCGACAGCAGACGTTTCCATCAAACATCTCACTTTTAAAGACAGAAACCTTTGGAGAAATAATAAACGAAATATTTTCATGTTTTTATAAATGGATGGAAGTTTAAAGTTCATGTGTTCTCACACAGAATAAAATCAGTTTATTTATTGATAAAATGTGAATATAACGAAGGCCGAATGAAATCTTTGAAGATCAGAAACTGTTTTAATTTAAAATTTAAAAGCATTTTCTCAGAAAAGGACTGACTGACGGAGATAATTCTGCTGCCGTTCGCTCCAGCTGGGATGTTTGTTGCACCGCAGACAGAATTAATTGTAAAATGAACGAATGTGCAGAAACGAGGATCCGCCCGTCCACACGCTGACGCGACAGCTTTCCTTTGTCTTCTCTGTTCCTGTTTAAACACCACATGGATGGAGTTGTTTTTGTTGTTGCAGGAGAAAATCAGAAAAATATATTTTAGCAGTTCAGAAGTGGAATTTATAGAATGGTTATAAATATCTTACCCGTTTGGAGATAGCGCTTTGAATGACCTCGGTTTGGAAAAGAAAAAAAGAGTTTATTTCTAACGAGACTGATGAGCTAACAGTCTGAAAACATTTTTATTCACAGATATTTCCCCAACAGAAATACATTCAGAACCCTCTAAATCCTTCAACACATTGTACTTTTTGAAAAACATTTCAGCTAGTTGTCTCTGTTTATCTCTTCTTTAGCTACTTTTAGTCTTTTGCTACTTTTAACCTTCTACTTTTAGCCTTTTGCTACTTTTAGCCTTCTATTTTTAGCTTTTTGCTACTTTTTAGCCTTCTACTTTTAGCCTTTTGCTACTTTTAGCCTGCTATTTTTAGCCTTTTGCTACTTTTAGCCGTTGCTACCTTTAGCCTTTTGCTACATATAGCCTGCTATTTTTAGCCTTTTGCTACTTTTTAGTCTTCTACTTTTAGCCTTTTGACACTTTTAGCCTTTTGCTATTTTTAGCCTTCTACTTTTTGTCTTTTGCTACTTTTAGCCATTTACTTTAAGCCTTTTGCTACTTTTAGCCTTTTGCTACTTTAAACCTTCTGTTTTTAGCCTTTTACTACTTTTTAGCCTTCTACTCTTAGCATTTTGCTACTTTTAGCCTTTTGCTATTTTTAGCCTTCTACTTTTAGGGTTTTGCTAATTTTTAGCCTTCTACTTTTAGCCTTCTATTTTTAGCTTTTTGCTACTTTTCAGCCTTCTACTTTTAGCCTTTTGCTACTTTTAGTCTTTTGCTACTTTCAGCCTTCTAACTGTAGCCTTTTGCTATTTTTAACTTTCTACTTTTAGTTTTTTGCTATTTTTAGCCTTTTGCTACTTTT